TCCTTTTGCGGGGAGGTATTCTCTGACTTTCTCCTATTCTTTGGGACTCTGCATTGATTTTCAGACTTTGGGTGATGTACTCACTTCTTCCTACTTCTTTGGAGGATGTTTCTGTAGCTGTGTGCTCATGTGCTTCCCTGTGGTGTGAGTCAGCTCTGTGCCAACGTTCCTTCTCTACTGTGGGTGAGAGTGTGGAATCCACAGTGGGAATTTGGGGTTCAGGTTTTTGGAGGACAGTTTCCCTCCTTTTGCTGAAGGGTCGTGGAGTTGTGGGGAGATATTTTCTCCAGAATCTCACTGTGTTCAGGTGTTTGGTTATTCTGTGCCCAAACCACTCTGTTCCCAATGTGGCTGGTGGTTGAGCTGGACAAGTATGATATTAGGATGTGTGTGTGTATATATATATATATATATATATATATATATATGTATATATATATATATACGTATATACGTATATCTGTATCTACATCTCTACATTTCTATCTCTCTGGTGTTCTCTCTCTCTCTCTTTCTATATATATAGATATATATAGATATCTCTCTCTCTCTCTCTCTCTTTCTATTTATATATCAGAGATGTTTCAGAGCAATTTGCCTTTAATTAAAAATTCTAAAGTATAGTAGTTTGTAAATTTCTGGTATTGTGTCTTTTGCGTCCGTGAGCATAAACACATAACATTCTAGTTGTTGATCTGAATAATATTTTACTGTGTTGACACAACAATATTTTACATTTTTGTTTACATTCACATGTTCTATCTTTCTGTAATATTCTGCATGGCTCAAATTAGGCAACAGTCTCATATCCTACTAATGTACTCTTCCTAAATTCTGTTGGGAGGTTTACTATTTTATAACTTAAAAAAAAAAAAAAAACAATGACCAAAGGGTACATAAACTTACAGGGGAGGACTAAGAGAGACAGACAGAGAGAGTGAAAAAGCACCCAGCTCCCTCCCAATGATGAATAGACACACTGCAATCCCTTGTCCTCCATCTCTCTCCTTTTGGAATTTTGGGCACACACATATGCCCAGCATGATTTAGGTTCAGACTCAAACTGCATGGTCATCCATGTGGGCTCTAGCCACCTTAACAACCAGGTCCTGTTTTGAAAAATTTTAAAGAGTTGAAGTAATATGATTTTTTCAGCTCCTCGGTAGAATTTCAGATATAAAGTGTTACTGTACTCATAGTTCAGCTTTGAAATTTGGGGATCTACATGAAATTAGATTTTTTAGAAAAAGCATGTTTTGAGTAAGCTCTTACTCCACCATGACACCCAAGGTCTGCTGTCAGTGCATCATGTCCCAAAGCTCATCAGCCCTGCTCCCTCCATGGGAGCCCCTGTCTGTATTGGACTAGAAAAAAATTATCCTGCAAACACTGATTTCTCTTGAGATACTCACTAGAACTTTTAAATTGTTTTTGTTAATGGTAACTGGGACAAAGTTTTGATAATGGTAACTGTCAACAAAAGTCTTCAGCTCCCCTAGTGTGTCCTGTCACTGTTGCTACAAGTGAAATGATAATTGCAGTCCTGTGGGGAGGTGAGGTCACAGGATCACAACCCCATACCCCAGACCTGACTGCCCCTCTCCACACATTCAACTTCTGTCCTAAATATCATCTGGAGCCCATTGCCCTGGCAGCAGAAAGGAGTCTGGTAAGTACTTTCTATTTCATTCTTTGACACAGTCTACAAGAGAAAGAAGTATGTCGGGACATAGAGTTAATGTTTTGTCTATGAAATTATACTTCTGCATAGAAACCGAGCCAGCCAGAGCCATGTGGGAAGGAGGGAATAATTAGAGTCCTGGGCTAACCTTCCGGTGAAGAAATGAGGGTCCAGTTCAACAAACCCGCCCATCACTGCTTTTAGTTGAATATTATGTTACTTTCACTGTTTTTCATTGTTGGTTTCTGA